TCAAAATGCATGGTAATGTTTTGTCCCATCCATTTTCGACTCCTTCCCCGACTTTTCGAACTTTCTACAATGCCCATCCTTCCCAACCTTAATGAGAAATTCTTGCAGCAGATGTTTGTGTCTCACCAGCAAAAAGGAAAATTGTTTGTTTTGATTTGTTTACTTATATGTGAAGCACTTGGTGATGACGTTTCCTGGTCCAAGGTGTCAGACCCTCTGGAGAAGCTCGAGGCCCCATTTGACTTTGGCTGGGGTGTGGTCACCCACCTAAACGCCGTCAAAAACAGCCAGCAACTCCGGGATGCCTACCAGCAGGTGCAGCCACTGGTCGTCAAGGCAACCAGCAGGGTGACGCAGAGCACACCTCTCTACCGGGCTGTCAAGGTGGGCAGGAACTTTCAAATGAGCCCAAGCTTAAACCGAACCCTCCAAGACCAAGAAGTTTTGGAGGATTTTTTTTGTACTTGGGAAGCTAGAGCCGAGCCACTGTCATATTTTTTTCAGTGTTGCAGTCGAGACCACGTAAGACCTTCAAAGGACCACACAAGGCCAACACAAGACCTCCAGTCAGAATTCAAGTCACAATCTATTCAAATGATCTGCAACAAAAGCATTCCTTTGTCACTGTCCACCCTGTTACTTGTGACTGGTCTTGTGCATGGTCATGTGATGGTCTCGACTACAACACTGAATTTTTTAATGCTTAAGGCATGATGCCCCTGTAAAACTTGAAATAGAATAAACGCTCCATTGAGTTTATATTCAGAAGATGATTTTGCAGGGCATAAGAAGATTCACAGGAAAAAACCTTTTGGGAGTTCAGGTCAAGATCGGGAAAGGAGGAGTTGAAAACCACGTGCCCCTCTGTGCATTTTCTATCATATCATCATGCTAGTTTTTTTTTTAATTAGTATTCAGCAGGTTTTCTTGGGTCATTATCACACCAATTTTTATGAAAATTGATCGTACCGGTCTTCTAAATTCCAAAGTTTTCCAAGACAGGTAGGTCAAAATTGGCTGTACTCAGTGCACAGGCCGACATGCATGAGGTAGTGAACTATAAATTATCTGAACAACACCAAATGGAGTTTTGAAGTGGCAGTGGACAGATGTACTTGTAATGAATGTCTTTGTACGTAGCTCTGATCACGGGTACAGTTTTTGTTATCAGAAAGCAATATGAAAAAGGAGACAATACAAGGTACCTAGTCGAACCTCGTTTAATAAGAGACCCTTTGGACTTGGCAAATTACCTTGTTATAACAGGAACCTTGTATCATCAGGAATGAAAACAATGAAAAAGAAAGGATTGGGACCTAAAATTGTCCTTGTTATAAGCAGACTCTTGTATGAACAGAGCTCTTATTGACAAGGTTTGACTGTACTATGATGTCGTTTGATACAGGTTATATTAAGCTTATTTACAGAAGTCATTGTTGCTTGATGTGAAGGGGGTAAGGTTTGACGTGTGCATGAAATTGTAGGTTCTCTAACAATTGACGCACATTTTATAATATTTGTAACTTGAAAGTGACACATTATGAACTGAAGTGCATGTGTTCTCATTACAGAAGTTGAATGGTTCCGGCGCTATCCTGGACGGTAGCCAGAGAAGGTTATTAGAATCAGCAATACGCCAGGCCAGGCTAGGCGGTGTGGAGTTGACGGGAGACAACAAAGAACGCTTCAACCAGATCAGGCTGAGGCTGGCTACCATAGCAACACAGTTCAGGTACGGCAGAGGTTCCTTTAAAGCGATAGATTGTGAATTTCAGGTCACGTTCTGAGAGAACTTGTGCCATATTGCAATGCATCAGTCAGCATATAGATTCACAAGTTTGCAATTTCCCATGAAGTCATTTCAGATACCCTGTTTAACCTTTTGCGGACAGTGGGCCAATTATTTTGGTGGCAGATTTTGACTTTCGAAAAAAAAAGGCAAAATATAGTTTTTGGCACACAGCCAAATGCCACAAATGAAGACTTATTTGCGTGATTTCTCACCACAACCTCATAATTCTAATCGCTCCCCGGGTGTGCCCAGGGAGTGATATTTGTTACCACAACAAACTGCGGGCACTGTCCAAGTTGAAGTCCAGCACACAGTCCACCTCCACAAACTTGTGTGACTTCGTGTGTGTGTGTGGACAAAACAGAACAGGCAGATTAGCAATTCATAAATGATTTTTATCATCTGGAAGTGAGTTGAGGTGCACTTTACGTTTTCAACTGTCAGCCTTACATGTGTAAAGAGCTGCCTTATCTTGGGTTCATGTCCTCCAGCAGTCACAGTGGTAAATGTTATCCTGCTTGCTAGAACTGAAAAGTTGAAGACAGTGGCCTTTGATACAAAAATAACCTTTATGGAGATCTGATGCCCAGTTAGTTTTGGTGAATGTATTGATTTGTGAGCTTTGAAGATTTTCATCGTGAAGGTAGTAAGTTGTAGAGGTTTGCGGTAGCACCATACAAAGATACATGTATCTCTTTCTGATCATCTGTGGTTCTAAAAAGAACCAGAACCGTGTTGATTTGCACTCTCACTTCTCTGTGTTTTTAGCAATAACGTCTTGGATGCCACCAAAGCCTTCAGTCTAGAACTAACAGACAGGAGGGATGTTGATGGAGTGCCAGCCTCGCTGTTGCAACTGATGGCTGCTAATGCCAACCCAGAGAAGTATGTGTGTCCTTTCCTGGTGTTAGACTCTATCACGTAGCTGAGTTGGAAACCCCGTAGCTTGTTTCCGTGTGCCATTGTTTGAACACTGTGGAACTGCCTTGAGATATCCTGGCTGTATGGAAAATCTTACCTAACTTGAGGTCTTTGTAACCGTTGTGGGAACCCAGAAGAATTGGTACATTTCATTTGAATTTGTTCATTTCGTTTGAATATCATTGATGTTTGATTGTTTTTTACATCATATGTTCCTTTAAGCTGCCTTTGTTCAGTAAGTTGCAGATATCACTTCATTGCAGTTTTTCTCTCCAAAATTTGGAATGGAAAGACTTGGTCACAAGCCAGTGTTTGATCCCTTCGCTCTACTTTTCTAATTTTAACTTTAGTAAATGGAGTCAGTCCATACTGACTGTGTGTATGTGTAGATGTGGATTGATTCCCCTGAAGAACTGCTCTTCAGAGAATTTAATTTCCAAAATACCCTTCCAAATTCTCCCCTTTTGGAGGATGTGCGAAGATTGAGGACGGTAAAACTCAACCAGTGTTACTTGAAAAGGGGCTCCGATTCCGACATAATCTTAGATTTTGAAGAATGCAGGATGTCTCCTATAAAATATGGATTGGTTTATTCAGAAAGTTTTTTGTCATCAATTATTGTGATCCAGACCAGATCCAGAGATTGGGCCGTGGAAGGTGACCCTTGACCTCCCTTGCTTTGAGCCCTTCATGAAACATAGCACCAACCGTGAGCTGCGGGAGAAATTGTACAAGGCTTACATTACCAGAGCCTCGCAGGGAGACCATGATAATACAGACATCATTGAGGAGATCAGAGCATTGAGGTATTCCATGTGCTTTGCTTGGTTTGATTTCCTAACAGGGCCTACAGAGCCACAGGTTTTTGTCAAAATCCAATCAAAATCCAAACAGAATCTGCAGTGAGGCTTTTTTTTACCACACTATTTTCTGTGAACAGCCTAGTCTTCCACTTTCCACCAAATATCTTCTGACAGCTTTGCATATGGTTCGTTTTTTTTCTCTGGAGCAACTGGCAGCCGCTGGGAGTAATGTGTATCTTGAGGATGTGGCTACTGGCTAGTACTTCCGTACCCACCCAAGTTATCACCAGCCGCAGCCGCCATTTTCAGACATGGCCGTACGTCGTAAACGGCAATTTGTTCATTACAGCGTGTTGTTGTGAAGCCATGTTTGATGAGTCAGATCTTCCCGTTGAGATGAACTTTGCAAAGGTCATTGGTATTTCCCTTCGCAGGAAAGAAAAGGCAGCCCTCCTGGGCTATGCCAACTATGCGGCGATGTCTCTCTCCTCCAAGATGGCCGAGAACGTTGACAACGTGTGGGCGCTGATACACGGACTCAGAGACAAGAGCAAAGAGGCTGCAAAAAGGTCAGGCCAACCTTCCAACGTTGAATTCCTGCGTGCCTTTGGTTATCAGGTTTCAGCCATGTCCCTGACTTTAGAGAGTCGGGTTTCACAGACCAATTAAGGAGATGACATTGCTGTGCTAACCCCACATTTACGCACATGTTGCCTGCGTCTAAATGTGGAGTTGGCATCAATTTTTCTGTTACAGATGAATGATGATAGAGATGTCCAATGCCAGTGTACAATCTGTGCTTGGGCGTAGTTTTCCTGCCGTAATGTCTTCTCACTCTTGTCACCAGATTCATCTGTGTAATCCAACCCATTTCGACAAAATGAGTCGCAAGTCACCAGAGCCACTTTTGAGTGGAAGGCCTTTGAAAGAGTATTGTACCATTGTAAATTGATGGGAATTCTCAACATGGTGTCCTGTTGCATGTGGATGCTACACTGGGTGATGCATCTAACTCTTAGGGCTGAGTTTGCTTTTGTGAGTGCAAAGAAAATTACTGAAAAATTCTGTCTTGAGCCTCATTTTGTTGGATCTGTTTTTGAAAAATCATGTCCAATTATAGATGTGGAAGCCAAAGATAGGAATCTTCACTTAGTTGAAAAATAATTATGTAATGCCAACTAAACAACTTTAAAGAGTTTTTCTTTTTCGCAATCGCAGGGATTTACAACAGCTTCAAGACTTTGCCTCTTCTCGGGGTTTTGACGGCAGGCTACAGCTTTGGGACATGGCATACTGGAGCGAGAGACAACGAGAGCATTTATTCAAGTAAGATCATTCATCCACGTCAATTTGAAGTAATCTGGCAAATAATAGAGGCAGATTTGTAAAAGGTGCTGCTTTACATTAAGGGCCTTTATGATCTACTTCGGAGCTGATTAAAAACTGCTTCCGTTTGTTGCTGGGCGTATAGAGATAGATC